CACTGTTGTCCATCTTGTCTGTTTAAACTGTAAGGTCTTTGGAGCAGATTTTCTCTTGCTGCTACCTTTATGATGTGGCTAATATCAACTGAGATCTCTGCTGTGATACAAATGGTAAGGGTGCAGAGCTGCAGCCTTCCATGTGCAGGAAGTTAGCTTCAGGGCTCTTGCAGCTACTACTCTCACGACATGGATATAATACAACCCAAAAGCTCTTGAAAGGAAGCTGGAGGGTCCCAGAGAACCTACAGCAAGCCTGGGGGTTTCTGGCTCTGAGAGTGCAGTTGAAGAATAGATGACTAGTCCAAGGCCACAGAGCCTTTTGATACCTTTTAATGACTTCTTCTCATCCAGTCTGCACAACATGGCCCAGTGTCTCTAAACTAATGGCACTCTTCTCTCCTGTTGTGGATTCTGGCCTGTGCATAAGAATACAAACATTACTTTTCTGACAGAAAATATTCACAAGTTTGCCAGCCATGAAATGAATTTTCCCCTCCTCCTGTATATTGTCTATGGCTTGCTTTACAAAAGTTAAATAGTGTATATCTGTAAACGTAATCCTCTGAGAAGACTTTTTGTGCTGTTCCTCTTGGCTCTAGTCATTTAAATAATTACTTTTTATATTGACTAGGTGTGTATTAGGAGTTGTATGCCTTCTTTTGGAAGATCAGGCTACCAGAGGCAACTAGCAGGAACAGACTAATGGTCTAGTTAGTCTATTTTCCCATAAAATTGGGGCTTAGTACTACAGTCAACTGCTACCATACAAATCCTTACAGAACTTTTCATGTATCCATTTATTTTTCCTGTAATACGTTGAAACATAAGTCACTCCTCTAATCTGCTAGTAACAGATTTAGCATTAAAATGCTGTATGCAGATCTAGTCTATTAGGATAGCTCTGTGTAACCACATATATCTCTCTGATCTAACCAGGCTGTGCAAGGAATATATCAGAACAACACTTATTGGAAGCAAGCTTAATCACAGCTCTCAGTTGATTTAAAATAAAATGCAGTTCAAGAAGGCAGTTAAGACAATAAGGGGAAAATGGGACTTTTAGGGAGATACTAGGAGGGTGGTTTTAATATTGGATGAAGGAATTCTTTGGCATCAAAAAATTAAATCAACGAAAGCTTGAGATGGGCAATAACAACTTTTTTCTTTCTTGTAAAGAAGAAAACTTTTCATCTGTCATTGCAATGTACAAGGTTCATCGTGCTTTAGCTAATATGTTATCAAAATTAGCAAACTGGGGAGTACTTTCACCTTGATCTGTTGGTTTGCCACAGCTTTCAAAGTCATTGGGACTTAAGCATTGGTGAAAATCCTACTGTTTATGCTAGGCATTTGAATTACTTAGAGCCTAGTTTTATGTTCCCAAAAACTCCAGAGGGGGTTTCATGTCACCACCTATAGGGGTGAGGAAAGGGACCCTTTCCCCCCTCCCTTCCCAATATCTTCTGGGGGGGAGATTGTTTTCCGTTTTAATTTCTTTCATCAGAAATATGGCCACAGCAGTCGATGGGGCATTGGACAGAGAGGTCCAGAATTCTGATGTGGCACTGAATGTTTTCTCTCACATTTTGCTGGCTGATTCTTGCTCACATGCCCAGAATTTAACTAATCACCGTGTGTTGGGTCAGGAAAGAATTTTCTTTGACTGGCCATGATGTTAAGGGAGGTTAAATTTCATACCCAGTGTGTGGCTGCAGGTCACTTACCAGGATTTTCTGGGTTTGACTTTAATTTTCCCCTGCCATTGTGGGGATTTCAGGCACTGGTACACCTTAGTCTCTCTGATTCTGTGGCACATAACTGAAGTCTGTCTGCTGTAATATTTTGGTCTTATTTCAGTTGCCTCCCACAAACCTAGTTATAACCACCAGGTGGATTTGAACCTGGCATCTCCGGAGCTTAGTATAGGAGCCTCTACAGCTTGAGCTATAAAGCCATCTGGCTCTTAACCCATCCTGTAGAGGTCTCTTGTTCTTATCTGTTGCTGTAGTCTAGGTACCACTGCATGAGACAATGAACCACACTAGGTGAGTGGGTTACATAGGATCCAGCGTGCAGTTGCTGGGTGGGTTAGTAGTCTGTGATATAAGGAGGTCAGACTACTGGTTAGATGATCTTGTGGTACCGTACAGCCTGAAACTTGATGGCTCCAGTGCTGCAGCCCATTCTGGGCACAAATGTCCCATTGACTTCAAAGGGATATGCACAAACTTCGGGGTTCAGGCCCTTTGTGTTCTGATGAATTTCACCCATAGAGCTAGCTGCTGTGCTGGAGCCTATAAACCCATCCCAGGCAGGCTGTGGGCTGAGGCAAAGGGTTGAGGTGGGGAAAGGAGTGCGGGGAGTGGGCTCTGGGCTACACTTACCAACATGTCCCTTAGCTCTTAAGCATAGGGGCAGCCAGGTGGTTCTGCCCATGTAGGTTGCAGTGTTGTTGCTCAGAGTGGAAGCAGCATGCATGGAGCCTCCCTGGCCATTTCTTCCCCTAGCACCCAAAGAGACATGTTGCCGCTTCCAGAAACCATGCAAAGCCAGGTGGGAAGCTTGCCAGCCCTGCCAACCAGACTTTAATGGGCCAGTCAGCAATGCTCACCAGAGCTGCCAGGGTTCCTTTTCAATGGATGTTCCAGTCAAAAACCAGACACCTGGCAAACCTGTCAAAATAGGGTTTGTGGGGGGTCAGGAGCATGCACCCTTTCCTGTACCTCACTACCCTGCTACTTCACACTGGTGTTTATTCTATAATCAGATTATCTAAACCAGCAACAAATGTGTGCTCCTGGATCACTATACAGCTTAATATGGAGAAGCAAGCAGTCCCTTTAGAACTCCAGTGGCCCAGATCTCCATTCATACAAACCGGACTTCTGTGATGAAAGGTTATTAAAGCTAAAAATCACCACATATTAGGTTCTTTGGCTGCAATGTTGTTTTTGGTGGAAGGATTTTGGCATATGTTGGCCTCAATCATTTAGTAAACTAACTAAAGATTTATTAACTAGGAAAATAAATGAGTGTTATGAAAAGGTTAAGGCAGGTATAACATATTACAGGTAGATCAGAGCATATAGTCCAATATGTTAGTAGGGATGTTAAATCTGCAAGTTTTCTAGTCTCTCTGAGTTGTTCAAATAGCTTTTTGGGAACCTTAATCCTTTTGTTCAATCTTCTTGTCAGAATTAGTAGTCCAGAGATGGGGTAGGAAAAAGGTGGCTGGGGGCATTTCTTCTCCATTTATATCTTCACTCTTTTTGCCAGAAAAATCCTGGCTGTGTTTCAGGTCAAGCAGTTTAATGGCATATGTGCTCTGCCATCTGTCCTTCAGCTGGACTGCAGATTCTAGCTTGCACCTTTGCTTACGTGCTGTCTGAGGTGTCATAAGGGAAGACATGCAGACGTCCTTGTTTACACCTCCTTTGTTATTTCTGAAGAGCTAGCCTGGGGGTGTTTGAGACCCACAACATGTTTGAGTTAAACTCAAAGCAAAAGTTCAAAACTTCACACACAGTTTCGATGTACACATTATAACAAGATAATATTTAACAGATTACACCTTTTCCAATGATACCTCACAAGTGTTACAATTTTGTAACAGTAATGACCAGGAAGTGACTGTCATCTTCCTCTTTAGACTGCATTACAGTGTTTTTAAGAATGGAAAAAACCTTCTAGGGAGGCTCATGAACAAAGCTTCAAGGGTTCCAGATTCACTTCTACCATAGACAGCTGGGGTCTGTTGGTGTTACATCTGCCTTAGTTATACATGTTAAACTATCATTCTTACACTGTTTCTCCCATGAGTGCAAAATTTGGGATATCCTTTTCAAAAGTAACTGGTTTAGGATAAGGATGTTAAAGACTACTTGACTATTTGATAAGCAAATGCTTATCGATAGTCAGTTGACCTGTTGATTTCCCCCTGCCCCCTTTCTGCCTCTATCATAGGCAGCAAAGATGGGGGAAAAGGTGGGACTTCGAAGGGCAATGCCGCACAGCTGATCCCAGCTCAGCTGAGTGGCACTGCCCCTTTGAAATGCCGAAGTGGTGTTTCAAAGCAGCAGTGCCGCATGGAGCCCAGGGTCCTGATCCTGGGCTCCCCGTGGCATTTTTGTGGGACCCAGCATCAGCTGGAGAGTCCCCAGCTGAATCCAGGTTCTGGGGAAATGCTGCACAGAACCTGTGGTCAGCTGGGGAGTCCCCAGATGATCCCAGGTTCTGCTGAAATGCCACACAGAGCCTGGGATCATCTGCGTAGTCCCCAGCTGACCCCAGGCTCCACGTGGCATTTCAAATTCACAGCACAACATGGAGCCCGGGGTCAGCAGGGAACTCTGAGTCCCCCGCTGACACCACGCTCCATGAGTCCACTTCTGCTTTGAAATGCACAAGAGCCCCCATTGGCTCTTGTACGTTTCAAAGGAGGAATGTGGAAGTGCATATCAACTAGTTGAGTAGTCAATGGAAATTCCATTGACTACTCGACTAGTAAGTTAACCGCAACTAAACATCCTTAGTTTAGGATTCTGATTGAAAGTCAGTGGGATTTAGGCCATGTGGGTGCTTTTGAAAACCGTTAGTTTTTTGTAAAATTTCAAAGATATGTACTTTAGCTCATTATCATCATTCATCATGTGAACAGATGTATTGGGCCTAATACTCTTCTCATTTACACAGGTAGTACATACTTGTACAGTTACCCCTGACTGAGATTCAGGGCCATTGACTTCAGTAGCACTAAGGGCATAACCAAGAGGTACTCGTGAAAGTAATACTCATTTTATTTAGTTCCCTTAAGAGTGCCAAAAGAGCGAATATTGATTCCATGAAAATAATACATTGGGGATGGGACAGATGGTAAGAAAAGGTCAATTTGAGAGCATCTTTGTGCTGATCAAAAAATAGATTATCCTGAAAGAGAGGAGTATTTATAACTTCAAGTGTGTGAATGTAACATTGATTTTCCTTTGTTATATTTTTAGGATCTCATGACTCCTTTAGCTTCTACATTGATGAAGCATCTCCAGTTGGACCTGAACAACCAGAAACTGTCCAGAATTTTGTCTCTGTATTTGGGACTGTGGCTAAAAAGTTGATGAGAAAGTGGTTGGCAACACAGACGATGAACTTTACTAGCCAGCTGGGTTCAGGTATACGATATTTTGATCTCAGAATTTCCACTAAACCCAGAGACCCTGATAATGAACTTTACTTTGCTCATGGTTTATTCAGTGCCAAAGTCAATGAGGGCCTTGAAGAGATCAATGCATTTCTGACTGACCACCACAAAGAAGTGGTCTTCTTGGACTTCAATCATTTCTATGGGATGCAGAAATATCATCATGAGAACCTGGTCCAAATGCTCAAAGGCATCTTTGGGAATAAAATGTGCCCTGCTATATTTGCCCAAGAAGTAAGTCTCCAGTACCTGTGGGAGAAGGATTACCAAGTGTTGGTATTTTATCACAGTCCAGTGGCTCTTGAGGTACCATTTCTTTGGCCAGGGCAGATGATGCCAGCTCCTTGGGCAAATACAACAGACCCAGAAAAACTGATTCAGTTTCTTCAGGCATCAATCATTGAGAGAAGAAAGAAAGGCTCCTTTTTTATATCTCAAGTGGTGCTGACCCCCAAAGCTAGTACTGTGGTTAAGGGTGTTGCTAGTGGACTCAGAGAAACAATCACAGAAAGGTAAGTGTCTGGAAGGCACTGTGTGCTCAAACTGATTGTGTTCTATGTGTCATTAACTCTGCTTCTATCGCTCTGATTGTGGAAGACTTAGCAGGTGCATTTCTTTTCTCTTTGCTATGATGGGTTAGAGTCAAAGCTCAAAGGTGATCTTAAAGTATTGAAAGGAAACAATAGTGAAAGACGAGTGCTTGTACCTTGAAAGCATTTGCATTAAGCATAAAGTCCAGATTCTTTCTGGATTCTATTTCCCACATGCCCTTTTTTATTACTATTTAACATTGCAAACATTTATTCAAAAGTTGTGCTTTTTAGATATGGGCAGGTCTATGCCATAACTAAACCCTGTCTGGGATCAATTACTGGCTCCAGGCACGGATTGCACATACTGGAGAAACAAGTATCAATTGCTGTCTCTCAAAACCAGAAAATGCAACATTTTCTTCTTTATATACCTTCACGCACCCTAGACAGACATAGGACAGAGTCCAAGCATCCTTCTTTGTTGAATTTCAGACATCATATCAAATGTGGCAGGGTTCTTTTGTAGACTGGTTCCTTCCCAAATGCTCAAGCATTCCTCATATAGAAAGAGGCAAAATTCTCTGCAGATCTAGTGCATGTACCAAATGAATAGCAAGTTGGCAAGTTGTTACTAGATGATGATTATTAGCTGTTACATTATAACAATCAGTTCACATTTAAGAAATCTCACTATTTAAATGTTCCTAACTTGTACAAACCACAACCCACTTATACCAAACCACCTAAAAGCAGTGATTCTCAACCAGGGGTCCAGAACCCCTTGGAGGGCACAAGCAGATTTCAGGGGGTCCTCCCAACAGGACAGTGTTAGACCCAGGGGGGGTCAGAGCAGAAAGTTGAAGCCCAGGGCTCGGAGTCCCACTGCCTGTGGCTGAAGCTGAAGCCTGGGCAACTTAGCTTTTGGGGGTGCCCTATGGCATGGGGCCCAGGCAGTTGCCCTTCTTGTTACCCCGTAATGCTGGCCCTGGCTTTAATATGCAGAAAATCAGTTGTTTGTGGCACAGGTGGGCTGTGCAATTTTTATCACGTTAGGGGCCTCAGAAAGAAAGATTGAGAACTTCTGCCATAAAGTCACCTTTGTGAGACTATGTGCCTGCCAAATCTCAGGTGGTCACCACACTACTATTATGGCATGTTTACTCTGGAATCAAAGTATGATTGCATCATGTATCGACATGCTGGCGCTAACTGCAATCTCTCTAGCTCATGTACCAAGAGTGATGAAGCTGTGGCAGCACAGACTTCAGGAAGGGCTTACCACTTGACTATGTACCCGCCCAGGACCCTGGGTACTTCCTTAGCCCATCCTGAAATCTGTGCTATTGTGACTTCGTGGCTCTTGAAGGCTAGCTTGGATTCATACGTGCTGCAGTCCCACATCCAGTGGCAATGCAGACATACGCTAAGCCTCAAGAAAATTGCAAACCAAAAAGCTATAATAAGGAACATGACGTGTTCTTTTTAAAGATTTATGATTCATTGATATTAAATTTGTATTGGAATGGGAATCAGCACAGCACATAAATAATATTTTGTACACTTTGCAGAGATGCACATAAGTTGAGAGTCTCAGTAAGGAATACTGCCTCCTGCCATATAACGAATGGCTAAGAATGAACTATTTTCCCCACATAATTGTGACGCATGCCCCCAGACACTGTCTCATTGTTGAAAGGGGCTGAGTTGCTTGTATGACAGCTTTCCAAAAGAAATTCAGACTAAGGAAAAACCAGGTTAAACTTCAGCAAAAATCATGAGCACAAAAATGATATAAGTAATTGAAAATGACTTCAGAACGTAAATGCATGTGCAACTTGACCCACAGATCTTGCTGTGTAATGTCTATAAGCTCTTTGGGGAAGGGAATGTCTCTGCGGATATGTCTGTGCTGCAGTAGAAATCCTGCTGCCCAGAGTTCCATAGCCTGGGTTAGTTGACAAGGGCTTGGTCTTGTGGGAGCTAAAAATGTCAGTTTGTACATCCAAGCTTAGCTGGAGCACTAGGCTCCAAGACCCCCTCTGCCGGTTGGATCTCAGAGCCCGTACTACTACATTGTAGTTGTATAGCCTCCATAACCTGAGCCACATCAACCCTGAGCCACATCAACCCTGCTGACCCAGGCCAGCTGCAGCTGTGCAGTAGGTCTTTTATCATAGTGTAGACGTACCTTTGTTGTGTGTCTAGAAAGGACCCCTATTTCTTACCTTTACTTTGTCACAAGCTTTTGCTTTTGAACCTTCAGTAGCACAAGGGACAAACCATACGTCTCTCACTCATTACTGGAATAAGGCTTCTTAAAATTGTAATGCCAGAGTGGGAGGCAAACCCTGCAAGAATTTGTTTTTGTTTCCTCCTGCTCAAAAAAAAAAAGCCCATTCTGTAGCTGTTTGGAAGAAAATAAGGCATAAATGGAGTGCAGAACTGAAAGATTGGTGTAAATTTGTAATCTGAATCTCCAAGTACTCCAATTCTTATTTCTGCCTGGAATTTGAACCTATCACTAATTAACATATTTGAAATGTCTGAAAATTGTTGGGCAGGAATGTGTGGTGACCATGGCTTTCAAAACTGTAATTGAGACTTTCCCATGAGACACAACTATGGATCTAAAACTGGTCTGAAATATTTATTCTCCCAGTCCCCTTGGTAACAATTGTAAGAGAGACAAACTTTCCAAATGTTTCAGAACCATGACATAGTGCCTGCCAAGAATGATGGAATTTCATTAGTTAAACCAAAAATACTGTGCAGCAGGATAGAGCCGATGGGAGCATATGTGAGATCTACATAGTTAATAGCACTGAACTCACTGTGATAACTACTTTGAAAATGAAGATCAAATATTCCAAAGCTGCAGCCCATGTGACTGTGATTTGTTCAAAAATAGATAGATGAGCAATCCAAGGCAGCAAAACAATACTACTAAGTATAGAACTCTTCTCAACATCTCTGCATTCGGATTTTAGTAGTTGGTAAGCATGTAATCCATTCTGCATGGGATGAATGTATGCAACACATCAGTAAGGTACATTCTAATTAACTAAAAAGCTTTGCCCTTGTCTGAGTGGCTACATAATTCAGATGATAGTGTGGTGTGGATATTACTACTGTGTGTGCTCTGTGCTATACAGTGCTTGTTAATTGATATAGTAAAAATAACACACGCACACATGTACTCTCTCTTTACTGGATACTCTAGAAACTGTAATATGCCTGACCAGTAGCTAAACAGTGAAGCATCTCCTTGTTGATGCTGGAGCATTTTCGCATTGCCCAAAGTAATGCAATACTCAGTATATTCAGGGTCGGATTACACCTTACACCTAAGTACAAGATCATCAGTGCCCTTCTCCCCTTCCGACCCCCCACTACTTTAACAAACTTTTAACCTTTAACAAAATACAGGACTATGTAGCACTTTAAAGACTAACAAGATGGTTTATTAGATGATGAGCTTTCGTGGGCCAGACCCACTTCCTAAGCTCATCATCTAATAAACCATCTTGTTAGTCTTTAAAGTGCTACATAGTCCTGTATTTTGTTTCAGCTACACCAGAGTAACACGGCTACATTTCTATCACTATTTTAACCTTTAGTTGTTCCTAGAATGCCCCTAGGCTCGTGCCTACTGTCCCTAATTGAAAATCCATCCCTAAGACTACTTCTAACACATCATGTAGCACAAACAAAAAAGTTTGCAGCTGAATATGATTATTTTTACCACACTGAGCTTGTGCTTGTTCTGGCCAAGGCTAAGCGTAGTGTTATCCACCACCACATGAATGCACTATTGCAGTACCAGTGCAGATTACAAATACTGGTTTAGCAGCAAGAAATGCTGCAATTTATGCTATCAATGTAATCCACGGTGCTTCGGCCCACCCTTCAGTGACTACTTTAGTAGCTCAGACCATTCTGCCAGTCACTTATCTACTGTTTGCTTGTAGGCCCAAGGAGAGCCATTGATTACTGAGCTAGTATTAGTGGTGCACATCCCTCATTCAGGATAAGTCCGCAACAAACTGAGACAAACATATGTGGTCTCTGCTTGGCTCTGTTCCACCTCTAGAGTAGCCCACTTGTCTCTCTCCAACCCCACCCCCATCTTCCAAAGATGGAAAATGAAACGTGGTTGTTATTGGGGCTTTATTTAAAATTTTGTAAACATTGTTTGGTCCTTAAAAGATTCACCTGCAAAGAACAAACATCAAAGGATAGAAGACAGCCAACCCAGGGCACGTGGACAGATGTACTTATTTACTGGGCCTTAGCTGATGCCTCACAGCATCTCCCTCATACATGAGATCTGCAAAACAATGATAGGGGGCATGCATTAAATGATACATAGCGCACAAATCCCTTCCCACTATTCCCTAGTAGAACCATTTATCTCCCCAGCTACACCCGTTGCTATTCATCCCATCAAGAACCATTTTGTTCTCTGAGCTTCCACTGCAGGAAGTGAACAATCAGGGCAGAGGTTGCCAACTGGGGAGTGCCGTTGTGCACGCAGGCCACCTCAGTCTCTGTCTCCCACAGGGGAACACAAGAGAAAAGGGAGCCATTATTTAACTGCAAAATAGAATAGGGAAAAAATATTAAGCTTGAAAAAAACAATAAGTGACTGACAATTAAATCCAGCTCCTAGTTTTCTGGTTCATAACCCCCACCCAAAAATATCCCCACTCCTACAATAGTCATCA